GTTAGGTCTACACATTATCATACCTCTGTCTAATCACTTCATCCAAGTCATTCCCTTCCACAAGTTGGCTGATACTTACCAGCTTTCCGGAATTCAGAGAGCATTTTTATTATTCTCTACTGACTCACGCACATGTCGACTAGACGACTTTCCCGATTCTCGTCACTCTGAAGGATATCTTCCATCACCTTGATTTTATATATAACAGGGTGACAGAAGATGTTTTCTCTGCAACATGAAATCAAGCAATCGTCGAATAGCTCTAATAACAGTTGGTTGTTAGGTTTTAAGGAGCACAAACAAACTGGCGTTTACGTCAGTTGGACAGGTAGGTAGATAGATCATGTTGGAAGCACGCACACAAAGGCATCGTGAAAAGGGAATGGAATGCAATCAGCAGCCTAGTGCAGATTCACTCAGTAGACACTGAGCCATACCTGTTGTGTGAGGTCACATGATACTACCTGGTTGCCTAAATCCTGTTACTTGGAACATGGTTCCAGTCCGTGATGTGTAGGCTGGAAATCAAGTGCCTAAACGGGCGAGTCACAGCTCCACACAGAAAGGCATCACTTCATGCCATCACACTTAGTAATGGAATACAACGAGGAAGTTGACTTGAAGTGAGTCATAACAAAATCGACAAGACTGTATATTGTGAGGGGGGATGAACTAACTGATTAAGCTTAGTGAGAATCTTCGTAATTTCGAAAATCATTGAGAGGCACTACAACTGAACCAGTGTGATCCTTTGTGAGACATATAACCCGTAGTCTTCAACTGTGAATTCCTAAGGTATCCAGGACCTCACTCCAGTAGTCGACGTCTGTCTACTGGTTCAGGTGAATACTCATGTAATACATGGATATGAACTGGACTTTGATATGTTCACTCCTAATTTTCTTTCCACCTGGTCCTATTCCAGTCCAGATATTTTCTTGGGTTACATAGTACACTGGTATGCCCAATCCAACCCTAGAAACTTCTAGACAATGCAAATTCACAATCTCATCGATTGACTTGTCGTTTCTACCTAGTTAGGGTATAGAAGGAAAGAATTCACGAACTACAGAAGTACATTGGTTTGCTTCAGACTGAAGGTACATGCTTCTGAAGAGTACCATCAGTCATGAAACGTTGATCTAGGCTTTTCTAAAAACAGCTTGTCACTCTGGTTCTGTGTAACTTACACTGGTGACAGATTTGTGATTTTTATTCTAGAGAAGTTATGACTCACCTATTGTAGACACCTTTCATAATGGAAATCCATTCATAGTGCCAAATATGTTCACTTATTCTCACTTTTCAAATATTGGATTCCTAGCTTCACCATACCAACTGTACCGTCGTTTACCTTAGTGAATTCTCGATAATCCACATGACGAGTAGAGGCTCAATCGTTATCCAACACATTTGTCGAATTTTCAACATACCGAAATGGGGTTAAATATTGTCTTTTAAGTATAACTGGTTAACTGAAATCTTGCAAAACCTTTTCATAGCATCAAGATGGGATATGGTTGTCATCCATCTCAAGTCAAATGTCCGCATGTCTCACTCAATTCCGTGAGTTTCTTGATCTTTCTTCCTCGACTGCGAGTTAATCATTAGATGTTAATGACCAGCCAGTCTGCTGTGAGAACAAATTACCTTGTTGTCACCACTCATCTTTATTGAGCTAATATGATAGATAGATCCTCAGTAGCTTCATTGCTTTCTGATATCACTGAATGCTGTGGACCGAAATCCTTTTCATCAATCCACTGACGACTCTCATGCTTCTGGTTTATGGAGTTAGTAGTAAACTCGTTGGAACATCACTACACTTTCACAGTTGAATCGCTTGACATTTTGACTTACCTCCTCTCATAGCATTCAGCCTTCGCTCGGTTTAATATTCCAAAACGTATCACTGCTTCCCAATTTCTCAACCTGATGATATTTCATTCTAAATGTTGCTGAACCATATTTTCATGGTCGAGTAGACTTATAAAGTTCATTCGTGTGCTTCATTTTAGAAATTCCTAAACACTGAAGTCAGTTTGCATGAATTTTCAGTAAGCAAAGTATATTTCTTTCGAGTCAAACATGAGAAATGTTATATCGAAAACTTCTGTGTTCTTATGTCAGTCAACAGTCAACCGAACAACTACGGATTCAGGATGAACTAGTGAAAAGAGAAATTCTTTCACTCGGCATTGATAAACTACTTGTTGTAACAGATCTGAAAGCTACTGACGACCATGTGTCGATCAGATATGTAAACTGGGTGCTGGAATTTGAGCACACATCAAATCAGGCTACCTCTTGCCAATTAAATTCGACATGTGGAAACCAGAAAACCAACTGGTTTATTCATGCAATGATTCACTCCATATGAGCCATCGACATGCTTAGGCAAACAAACGCACATCAATTTCATGAAAGTAGACCAAACTCAACAAAACAGTGAACTACATTCACCATGAAGCGTTTCCCCTTACACAGACACTTAATAACATCAGTTTAGTCGAATACATGGTTTGTGTTGCATAGTCTATATTATGAGACTGGACAATGGATGACCGTGTTCTTATCTAACTATTCACACAGTAAAATCCACTGTGTGATAGTGATCAGTTGAATGGAATTAACACATGTTAGGCATGGTACTTCCAATTCTCATGGGGGTCAGGCAGGATATTGTTCGAGTAGATTTCACAACAATAATGCCAGGGATGTCGGTGTTTAGTTACTTACTGGTAAGCTCCAGATTATTTAGTTTCTTCATTAAGTGTAACGATCGAAGTGACTGACATAAGCAAGCTTCATTACTTGAAAGTAGTTAGAGCGGAAGGAGTGAAATCAGATAGAGTCATTGAAATGATTACAACTACTAGACAGGTATTTCGTGTTACTTCGAGACTGTTCAGTTGTGTTCATCTGCAGTCCAGTATGGAAGTGAGCCCATGACCATACGATTTCGCAGAGACCACGTTACTATCTAGCCACTCAGTTGGAATTCAATGATCCACTCTCCTCAACTTCTGTCAATTTGTGATATCATGTGAACACTGTGTAGTGTCGTCGATTGACATTTGCACCCACTATTGATTTCGATTTTCGTTAACATCTTCAAGATTTGAGACTTTTCAACATCTCTACAAATCATGCCATTCCCTCACCTAGAGAAGTTTTGACTCCGTGGTGCTAATGACTGAAGGTGGACTAGAGAAGATGATGCTTCCGATATCACATCTTGCATGGATATGGAAACCGATTCAGGTTAGCACATGGATGATCAGTAGTAGTTAGAGATCTACACTTCAAGGAAGGTGTCTCATACACATAATTTCCGTGTGAACTATCCATCAGAAGAAGTCTAATGGGAAGACTAAATTTATACCGACTACCTGACACCTCATCAATCTTCCACAAAAGAAATTTTACAGACCTCTTAGAAGGGGGCGGCCTAGAGCCCTGACACTTCACATACTATCTCTGCTGTTTCTTCTTACATGCATCTAGGGTACACGAATTACTTATTTCTCGATATCCAGGCATTTCATATCATCTGTTCATGAACGTGGAATTTCCTGTATACATTAAGACATGCTAATCAAGTCGAATAGGTTTGCTCACCACTCCTATTCGAACTTATAGCTAATGATAGGTATTTGATGGGAGGTTTGCAAATTATTTCAAAGCTGTACGCTTAACATTGAGCCTTCTGCAAGTTGGATTGTTTTTCACTAGTACACAGGTATTTCCAACAGAGCTTGCACCGAAAATCATTCAGTCAAGACTACAGTTTATGTCCCTGTTATTTGGTTGGAGGTGATCAGCAGGAAGGCCTACTTCACTCAGCTTTCATGATTTTAGGCACTCGTCAGCGAGGCAGATTGCAACCTCAACAGAACTGATCTCTCACCTGAGATTGGAACCCGCATCACCCAGTGCCACGGTAGGAGACTTCACCACTGAGCTATCTGGGACCTGACACAAACTTATAAATATAACAAGACGAACTAAGCTGCTGGGAGACATGAGTGGTTAGATATTAGTTACAGGCGTTTACAAATCTCCTGAGAATATTGAGAGGACAACTTCAACACCAGATAACCATTTCACTGTTTTGCAGTTGAATTAGTCATCAACGTACCTGGAGAGATCTGGCGCAGACAATCAAACAGCATAGAATTGCGTCACTTGGCATGCACCCAGCAGTGTATGACAAACTGGACAAACAATCTGCACTGTGTTAACAAATCACATTCCGTGTGACTGTGAGGTTTGTCCAACCACTTCATTTTGACAGTCAGACAGATGCCTTTGCGATCCCTCATCAAGTTGTTGTTGTTGTTGTTGTTGTTGTTGTTGTTGTTGTTGTTGTTGTTGTTGTTGTGGGGATGTCACCCATTCTGATGGCGGGATCTCTTTGTCAATGCAAGCTATGAGTAAGTGAAATTTGTCTGGCTGGTTTAATGTACATCTAGCCAACACAAACTGTGTCAACTATCATCTTACACCTGAAACATTGAGGTTCGGAGGAATTAAACTTCAACAGAAGAAAGCAGACCACATGGATTTGTGGATGGGATAATGTAGAAGTTCAGTCAATCAATTTTAAGATTTAATCTCCTCTTTCTTATTGACAGGTAAATAAGTGTTTGTCAATGTTACATCTATGAAACGTGGATTTCCTGAAGCCTTGCAAGCAAGGATTCATGATATGAGTTAGGGGAACGTGTTGATCGTAATAGACTGGTTCGAATAGCGATCAGCTCACCCGCATTCAGTCTTTTGCTGAACAAGTGAACTTTCTGCTATCAGTCACCTTTTCCAATGTGAACACTTTACGCATGCAGAATATTTTACAGGCGAACTTTATTTACAACATGGAATAACTGTGAACCACTTCATGTTAAAGTATGAATCCACTGGAAGATGGAGACATCAGTGGACAAAAGTGAAGGACTGGATGTATAGAAGTGGATATGTCGTAAGAATCACTGTCCAGTATGCTGGAAAACACTCCACTGAAACACACTCGCCTTCAATTACAACTTCTTGTTCGCTTGCTTACACGACGAGAAGAGGTAGGTATTACAAATTGAACCGTCTTGGACTCTTATGATCTTAGTGTTTACATTCACGAAGGACTTTCAGCAATCTGAAGACAACCTGTAAGGACAGCTGTGGCAAGTGATAGTCTTATTTCATAATTTTGGTTGCAGATGTTTGGAGCAAATATCTGTATGCTTTGTGGAGGAGACATTCAGCTAAATTAATGAAGATTAAAAATGGTGCATGTAGAAACTGGAATGAATTCAAGGCCGTAGATGCTGATTGAACGAACTAACCTGAAGTCATTAGAGTCTTCAATGGTTTTTGCAAATAATCCTCTCCAGTATTGGGAAGAGTTGATCCTGACACTTTCTTCTATATCATTGTATGATATATAGAATGTGAGGTCAAGTTTAACTTCACCTGATCAGTGGAATCATACAACTCCGTTGCTGGAGTACTGGTTTCACTGACTAGAGTCTCTGAGATACAGGTTTATGAACACTATTTATTGATACTTGTAATTGTCCGTTGTTATTATATCGGATAGAATTGATCGATATCTGTTTGCTCATGGTCTGCTATTTCAGAGGCTTTTCGCATTGATTCAGATATGATATACTTGGTGGTGGCTAGCAGTGGAGTGTAGGACGTGTGTCTATACCCGCTTGCCACTCGTCAGTTGGATGCACCTGCACTCACCAAATGAGTGATGGTGTTCTGACTGGGACACAAACTCCGCATTAATTGCTACAAGCACGAAGGCTGATAGTTGCCTCTCACCACATATATATATATATATATATATATATATATATATATATATTATATATATATATATATATATATATATACACGTACATTCGTTCTCGCTATAACCAAGAAGAGAGTTTGCAGTGGTGCGTTCGACACATGAATGTCTGAAGTTCACGAGTAGTTGCATTTCCCCAGAGCGTTGGATCCCTTATTAAATGCAATCCTAAATAGTTGATGCCAAAGAGCAAGATGCTGATAGGAAAGAGTAAATAAGAATAACCGAATCATCTTATGGCTAGACAGCTAGCTAGCTGTATTGACCAGCCATGAATTACATATCAACTAAACAATGCCTGTGATTGTATCCCGTCACAAGCCCTTGCTGTATAACAAAGGGTGATTATCAACCAATATGAATATAGTTAGCAACCAGTGGGGTGAACATTATCAAAAGTAAACTATCAGCTTTGTTTTATTCACCTTCAAAATGCTTAGTGACTTCTGATTTCTGTGATGTTGAACATGACATGTCTTCACAACTGATAGGAGTGTCAGGATAATAATCAGCCTTGGGAGGTTCAGATCTAAGGTAGGAAACAGTCACTTAGTGAACAGACAAATAATCATGTACTTGAAAATCGTCTTTCTTCCCTTCATTGATTCGTCTGTATGCTTTTCATCACGCGGAACTGATGAAGCTGTCGTGGAGATGTACCTCTGCATTTCCGCCTTTGCCTGACCAAATGATTCTATTGAGAAATTTGTTTTGAAAGAAAACAATACAAAATTATTAGCATTGTTACCAAAAGCCTTGATTACTCGGACATGATGGAATGATGATCCTCGAGGAGGATCACTATGAACTAGAAAGGAATATTCATCTATTGGTTCCGTGAACACAGCTTCATCGCCATGTATCCAATTGCTGCTAATTATAGCCGGTTTGTTGTTCTCTGTTCGCACCACTAGAACATACATATCCTTCTGAAGAATCTAAAAGCTGCTCATTATTTCTTCAAAGGGGACTTGTTTACAGTTTCCATTTTGCGCACAGCATCAGAAAATACCAGGTTGTTTTGATCACGAATGATGATATTCTTGTTATAGCTAGGGTGGATGAATACAGAATCACATTTTTCACAGACTAACTAACAATCGCATACAGCCAACAACCAGTAAGACTGATTATCACTGTCGCGTGAAAATTAATCTACAATGCATGAAATGTTTGTACAGTAAAACATTTTAACTTCGGCCATATGCATGAATAAGCAGAATTCGTTGGGAAACCTGAACTTACTGCTGATCAATGTGGAGAGGGATATCATGTTTCCATTGTCTAGACACTGAACTGCTGCTTCTCTCTTTTGAGACTGAGATCACTGTCAGAGTACTCAAACAAAAGTGGACTCAGAAAGTCAACTTCTACAGACTACTTGAAGTCAGTCAGTCAGTCACATGACTGAGAAGTACTCGAATTGTGAATATCGGTTTGCAGTTTTAGTCAGTTTGTATGTTGGTGATCTCTGGTTCAAATATTAGGTGACTTGGGAATTATCAACCAGTGACCACCGTCGTAACTGAAGATTAGTCTCAAAAAAAACAAGCCTACTTTTATTACTTGTAAGTTAGTGAGACTATCTGAGGTATCCGTGTTTGTTGGCTTCGTTTCATCGACGCTCAATGACGATTGTGTTTAGAGTGAGAAATTGGGCCACAACTGCGTCTGATGAGTAAGAGAGAGTCAGTCCCCTTGGTCACAACCTCAATGGTCAACCTCGCCGAGGTAATAACAGTCAAGTAAAGCTGTTTCAGAGAAAGATAATAAATACATTGTTCAGCAGAACCAAATAGCCTGTCATGTAAATCATTGGCAAATTGTCCGCTTCTTACAGACAATCCTGACAGATTTGTAATTTTACAACTGATCAACTCCAGTTTTGACAGACTTCTGTTGGTAACCATTTATTGTGGTGACGTTTGACACCGACGTGCTAAGAACTCATGTAATATACTTGTGAACAACGTGCGTGGTTGGAAACGAGACATGCAAATCTGGAGTTATCGCTGGTTAGCTTACAATAGTCCAGACACTGGACGGTGGTTTACTCCGTTGTTGACCAACTTCATCAACAGTTTATCCACACAAATTTAGCACATACATTAACCGAATAGGTCAGTTCAACTGAATCTGATTGATTAGTCGATTTCAATGGATCTGTTTGCCACAGATGGGATGATCAATTTGCTAATTATTTACGAATCACACAATCCATGTATGTGTTTTGCATATCTGAGAAATGATTCAAGAAGCTGAGTGCAGTGCTAGCAGAGTTCCCATCAAAAATCGCCCAGCTAGGAACACAAATTGAAGGCTGTAACACAAAAGTGTCACAAAAAGACCACTAAAGCAATGCGTAACATGAATAACTAGGAAACTCCTCTCATCTCCGACATCTAACTCTGAAATAATCATGAATCCGTGACAACAAGTTTTCCAGAAAGAACCTCAAACTTCTATTTTTGCCTCAATCAACTTTATCTTTTTCACCACAATAAAATCGACTTCATTGTCGAAGACGTCGGAGAAACGTGCTATAACATAATTCCTACCACTGAGAGATTTCCGGAGTGGAAGCAAAATGAATAAAATTCATGTCGTCGTGCTGTTATAACTCCGTTTTCCTTAGAACCGATTATCTCACTAGTTTTCTCCATCATGCCTAAAACAAACCGATAGATCAGTTAGGAAATAGTCTTGCTATACGTTGTAGGTATATGTCGTTAATAACAGCGAAATTCACTGGAATGCACATTAGGCCGAAATTATATACATCTAGCACATAATCTTTAGCCATCTCACAAAAACAAAGCCACAATATCGAATGAACTCATCGACTTCTTCACCTTCGCTTACGCGCAGAGAAACTGGAGATTCAACGTCTTCATATATCTGCAATAATACCAATCAGTATATGAAGACAAGTGGAGATATAAGTTTGAGTGAGAAAGAAACGAGGAAATCTCAGATTTGGAAGACAACGAAAGTTTGATGTTGACTTGCATCTGCAGTCAACTGACGCGTAGACTGAAAGAAACTACTACAAGCTCAAACATAATATCAGTAAGGAGGTAGTCAATTGAAATATGTGTACGGCGAGTTACTGGGGAATTGTTTATTGAAGACAGTACCACCTTAAATCATCTGAGTAAGCTAACAAGTCAGTTGGTGATAAAGTTTTCATTGAGATTGCTATGTGGAATGAGAGTGAGGGCCTTATGATTGCAACATTCACCTCGGAAGATGCAGCATCACGAGAACCATCATCGAGCCACAAGCATTTTTCACAATCTTCCTAGCCAGTTCATGTAGTAATCACTATTATATATCAGTGATCGTAATGATAGATGAATCGGGATGCTAACTGCTGCGAAGTAGATGAGATTATTCTGTTCTCAGAGCTGATAGTTTTGTCTTTGTAGTACTTAATTGGTGTCCTAAATCCACCTGTAGCGCAAAATCTCCCATCACTCTCATCTGCCTTTTCAGAGTCTTCTGAAATGAGAGTGGTGTTTATAAGGGAGGTGATCTTGATACAGCAGTCATGAGTGATCTTCCCAACAGGTGATTAGGCTTGACCTTCCCATTCAAGTCATGAAAACATTTTTGAACACTGGAGAATACTTTCAGTCTGCAATATGCCCTTTGAGGTGGAAGTCATCTACCAGCTTGTCTAGTTTGCGGTAGACATTTCAATGGCATTATAGTTACAATCCTTGGATCGTGTTTAGAATTCGCACCGACGTTGATAGCCAGTGTGTCATTCAAAGTTATTATTCATGAGAAACGCCACCTGAGAGAAAACTTAGGGATGCAGAAATCTAGAGTGGGTATGTGTAAGATAATTGAAAATATATCAGTTGCAGCTCAGTTGTCTATCAAATGAGGCGCCACTCAGAAACATAATAGCACGAAATGAGGTTTCACAACGGACAGCTCAGTACTATTATTGTTATTGTCGTTATTAGTAGTAATAGCAACGGTGTTGGTATTGGTATTGGCAGTGGTCTTGTGAGTAGTAGTAGTAGTAGTAGTAGTGTGAGTAGTAGTAGTAGTAGTAGTAGTAGTAGTAGTAGTAGTAGTAGTAGTAGTATAGTAGTAGTAGTAGTAGTAGTAGTAGTAGTAGTAGTAGTAGTAGTATTGTGAGTAGTAATGGTGTGAGTTGTGGTAGTAGTATTAGTAGTGTGAGTAGTAGTAGTAGTTGCATGATGCCATCTTAGATGCTCACACCGTTACTTTTTGTTTAGCTTACTTAAGAAGAACGAGGAAGGGACTCTTTTGCTCATGATCAGACAGCTTGTCCATAGGTAAGATATACATTCTTCACCATATTACACACACAGTAGTGAAAGAGAATAAAATGGATACAGTGATTTCTTATTGTTTTCAGTTAAACTTCCAATGCTGTGTTTTAGATGAAGCAACCTACCGATTTGAAATATCTCACGAAAAGCACCACTGATCAATACGGATAGTCCAAGATAACTCGAGCTCGTCAGACAGCGTGACTTCCTCTCACTAAAGTGATGTTGTGCAAACCCTGGTTAGCCATCTTCTCTTTCTATTCACCGATTGTTCAAATCGGTTTTCTTCTAATCCTACAAGTATCACTGTAGATACTGTGAGATTTCCTTCAGCTATTACTCAGATGCGATTGCCACTCTCAACGAGATCACACAATGTGATGTGAACAGCTTCATTTCCGACATAATACATCCCAGTGAGATTACTTCAAGTGCCTAATGACTGGCTAACTGCAATTCATGTTCAGAGTATACAGATTATGTTAACAAGTAATAACTTATATAAACTCAGTGACAGGATTCAGACACTTAGGTTACATGCGATCAGAACACTGGGAGACGAGTCGTAATGAATGATAAGTAAGGTGACATAATGAATATAAAATATGCATATTCATGCGTTTACTTCCAAATGAACATCGATTGAATATCACTGGATACTTCAGTTTAGTCAACTTGTATACGGATGCGTTGAACAGACTGCTAAATGCACATAATACTATCAATCATGTGTGTTGAATGACTTTCAACATTTCTAAGGGTCAGAGACTCTTCTCACTCTACTCGCGACTATCCAGTGTTAAGCACCCTTTATCTTATGCAGTCGAATTACTCACCTGTTACATTTTCACTTGTCTAATTAAATGTTTTTCACTCACTACCTGTAGTTTATCTGGAGAACTGTGGGAGACAGATTCATCCACACTTGTATTGTTTGTTTTGTTTCACTGAATGCTTATGAACTTCAATCACTTCTCTGGTTCTCGACGCAGTTTCTTCTGAAGAGAAACGAGATGGGATAATAAGTTGACAACGTGAAGATGGATAAAGTTCTAAGCTGTATTGCTTCTTATCACCTTTGTCCAGCGTATGTATGTCTGATTTAATTTCACACATTTCCGTAATAAAAATAAACAACAACACCAAACGAACAAAAATTTGTTAACCAGTAAGTAAGTGATCAGTTGAAATTCGAATACCTTTAGAACCCGGAATAAGTCGACAGTTAAGAAATACCAAGTATTCTTCGCTCTCTTCTCTGTTGAATGATTTCAACAAACTAGCTAACTAGCTAACTGTGTCTCAAGTAAATAATTGATAATTTTCACAATGGAATTGAAAAAAGCAATGGGAAACAAAAGTTTTATTGGTGACCATTATTATGTCGCCTGTAACGTGATGTATGCATGGTGGGATTAATCAAATCTACTAAACTTATACATTGTTGGTGAGATGAAATAAACTTTGATTGACCAATCAGACAATAGGTAGACTTTTGATCATTTTGTAGTTATTATTCACATATAATTTACTCAGTGAGAGTAGTTTTTCCAATCTATCTATAGAGAATATATCAGCATGGGATAGGGATAGGGATATTTGCATAGAAAGTTTTCTTAGAAATTCAACCAGTAGTATTTTGTGTTCATAGACAAGAGATATCTAATATGTCTCCTATAACTAGGCGATAATTTCTGCTTTAGCTGAGAAGTCACCAGCTGCAAGTGAATTGGATTGCATAAAGCTGTGAGATATGCAATAAGTTGGGTGATTGATGTCTTAGGATATCAGTGAGATGAAATCCCTTGTGTATTTTACTTGCTTGTTCAAAGATGGTTACCCGTTTCTCTGGATTCTCGTTCTTTATCTCTGTGTCTGTTTGTCGCTATGGTTCTCCCAACTACTAGTGTACATCTCTGTGAATAGACTTGACAGTTTTCTTTCTACCTAATAACCCTCTTGTAAATATTGGTTGAAGTTTTTCAGCTAGTATTCATTATTAGTTGAGTATTCTATGTTGATGAGAGAGGTGATATCCATTGCGACTTGTGTTGGTTTGTGGAAACGAGGAGTGGTTTTGTTTAAAGACTCTGTTAAACGGGTTTGATTTTAATCCTGAAATGGAGTAGACTGTGAAGGGAGAAATTGACAGTCTTCAGTTGTAGAGTAAGTACTAGGAGTGCTTGCTTGTCAGAAGGCACAAATTCTATCTCTTTTATTCCTCAACTGACTTAAAATATGAATCTTCGTTAGTCTCAAAGCACTCCAAATCATGAGTTGTCTAAATATTTAGCAATGCCACTAATCCTCCTGATTAGAAACCTTTCATAATCTCGACTCGCTAACTATTAAGACCTAAAGCATAGATTGCATGATATACGAGTGGATAAGAGCGGAAAAATGGTTAGTTTCGACGAACTCAGCCTTTTTACGAATATATTACTTGACATGGCTCTAGAAAGATATTATTCCATATGTTTGTCTACCTGAGGTGGTTGACCTGTGGTTTGCTGCCTGGCTAGTTCAGGTTTGCTTCACAGTTATCTCATCAATTGTTCTTTGTTATTGTGTAAGAAGTGATGAAATGGTTAAATGTAAGCAGGCTGAGTTTACTTCCGGAATATTGTCCACTCCTGAACTGAATGAAGGTATTCCATATGTTACTGTTAAAATATCCAACTCTTTTCTGTGACCACTAACTGGAATGAATGAATGTAAACAAACCAGCAGGCACTGATTTTCACAACACAGAGACTCAGAATGCAAACACAGTTTTCTAGAGATTCATATTGTGACGACTTGGTCATATTCCACGTGTTGACGATACAGATTATTTGACATTGCAGGTAGGAAACGAGCATATTTCACTTATCAGCTATTTTTAATATGGTCAACACAGAAACTGTACAAAGTAGATTATGGCCACTCGACTAGTATGGTGCTGAAAATCAGACTTGACTAACTAAATATGACCTGTCACATACATCTTCACCCTGCCTCCAACTACTTCTTACTTATTTCTTACTAACTCACTTAGTTACTTGTGCTTTTTTATTATTTATTTCTTATTACACAATGTCTGTGTTTGCAAACTGTTGAGTTGATCTATTAGTCAAATCATTTGTTGAATAGTCAGTGTCAGTACACTTGAAGTGTATACTGATTTGTGTTCTAGCTTCTTTATATATAGATTGTTTATGAAGGAAATGTACTGTGCACTCGTGAAATCGATGGTTAAGCTTTTTGTCTATTAGCAAACTGTAATTGAATGCACTCAAATATCACACTTGACAAATTATAGGAAAATATTCAACATGATAGGATAGATGCAGGTGAGGAGAGTGAGGAGAGTATCAACCACTCACTTACTTCATCCTCTTTATATAAAAACAAATATGGAATATGAATGATCATCAAATTCTACTTACAAATCAGTATTCACCAGAGTTGATTTCACATGTCACTTTGAATCTCTCCTCTTCGCATTCAAAGTGGATTCAACTCACTGTCTAATGATGAATATAAATGCTCAATATCTTCCGGGAAGTCCATCTCAAACTTCATCTCATCCTGTTTGTTTACTTAGAGAATCGAAAAATTCTTCTTCTTCTCCTTCTTCTTCCTCTTCTGCTGCTGCTGCTTCCGCTTCTTCTGAAAGACGTTCATCAATAGATCGGATAAGAAATGCATCGTTAGGTAAACATAAAAATGAACATTTTCATAGTCCTACAGTGTTTTCTAATGGTCAGTCATGCAGTATACTGAATGCCCCGAAACCTTCACTGGAAATCAGTGAAGACAATATCTTATTCGGCAAAAAACAATATTCAGTTCAACTAAACCGTGAACCACAAAACAGTGTAAATCCTCAAAATATTACCAGGACTAGTCTGATTCCTAGCACAAATCAACCGAAACACCGTCGTCATCATCAACAGCAACAACATCACAGACAGCGACAGCAACATCGAGGAGAACAGGAGCAACCAACACTAACCAATCATGCCAATTTCGCAACATACACTCCTTCCACAAAACCATCACTGAGATATTATGCCCATGAGACAATTAGAAATTCAGCTCTTGTCGGAGCACCGAGACTTGCCTTAAGTGTTTCATTTCAAAGTGGTCAAAACAATCCTGATGAACATATGAATAATATGAGTTACTCTCCAATCAATTCTTCCTTGATAAATGTGAGTACAAGTTTGTCTTACGGTGATGGTGGTAATCATGGAAATGATGACGAGTACGTTAAAGCATTGGGAGAATGCAGCAATTTGGATGTCACAGATAATGATAATGATTCATCTGTTCCATCAAACGAACTACGTTATACATGCGTTGAACAGGCAAAATGTTCAAACCTGTGTCAGATGAATGGCACCAGTGTAATGGCTTTTCGATGCAGAATATGCTTAGAAGAAGGGGAAGAAGCAGAGCAGCTATTATCAGCATGTCGTTGTAAAGGAACTGTTGGATTAGTGCATAAACGTTGTCTTGAGAAATGGCTTTTAACTTCGGGGCAACCAAACTGTGAGCTATGCGGTTATGCTTATATAATGACACCGTCTGAAAGATGTTCATCTCGGTTCTCATCGTTAGATCACTTGCCACGTTTCAGTAATGAGATGAGAAGTGTTCGAAACTGGTTGAACTGGCAGCGAACAAGGCGACACTTGATCGCCGATGTGATATGCATGATTTTGCTGACGCCTGCAACCTACATAGGAGTCTATCTGTGTGTTCTGGGAGCACTCGACTATACACAGACTAATCCACTTGGATGGCAAGTTTTCGGATTATGGGGACTTGCAGTACTTCTAATCCTGTTACTAACTATATGGATGATTTTAGTTGTTAAACATCACTTGGGGAATTTTCGCAACTATCAGTATCATCAACAAGAAATTGCTTTAGCTGAGGCAGTTCGACTATCAGCTCTTCCGAGATATCGATTTTCTGTGCAGCCTAGACCTCGAGGATCATCTGTTGTCCTGTGCAACTTACACAGGGAAGAAGAAATATCGCCTATACCATCGGTGTGTGAGGCACAGATTTCATCTGCATCGAACATGAGAAGCGTAGATCTGAATCAGTCATACTCCAGTGATCAGTCTCCAACCTCGAGTAGATCAGTCTCCAGCTGAAATCAAAAGATTTTCGTGTCAGTTGCATTGACCACTGTTCGTGAAGCAGCTGACGACTTTTCCACTTCAAACAGCAACACAAACTATGCAAACATCGCTGAACTCTGACTTTACATGTTCATGTTTTTTCCCATATCTAAATACTGTACTATTTTCGAACACCTTCCTGCAATCTGCATGTTGGATCACTCACTGTCTTATGTATGAACAGTAAGCTTAACCGCTCACATTTCATGAGCTTTTGTGGTTACCTTAGAAAGCGTTTTGTGTGCGTGCGATATGCATTTTTGATCAAGAAAGCATGAAGTTAGGTAAAAACACTGAAGTGGTTTCTGTCTCAATTTTCACAGTAGTTATCCATGACTGATCAATTGGGTGTTTCAAAATGACACGATAAAAGTCTAGGTTTTCCAAGATATTATTGTATAAGACAGACTTGTGCGTGTAAGGGTTTCTTATCAAATGATCAAGTTAGAAGAAGTGGAGTCCTAAGAAATGCCTTATATAGTAATTTACCTTACATAGTCGGTGTTTCAGGGAATCGTATATAGTTCATGGACTCGATTAACTCAAGAATAAAAGCTGCAGTTGCACATATGCATTTCTGATTCAACTTGAACTCGCAAAGGATAAAAAGGATCAGAATGTATGGAACATATTGCGCTGTAATTTACTCGGTAGCAGGCAGCAGTTGATTGTAGTACACGTATTTCCTTCTACTTGGAACTTGCCACCCGGATGTACCTGTACCCAGTTAGTTATGTTATTCCTACTGAGACCGGAACACAACACACACTGTTACAAATTTACAGTGACAGTCTGCAGTCTATTAACTCTTACTCTACTGCGATACGTATGGTATGACACAAAATCAGGAAAAGCCTTTTCAAATGTCGACAAAATAATACTGAAATAAGTTGCGAGTAAACAGTCTTTGTATTTATTCTTATGAAGATTTATAGAGAGTTGAGAGGTGAGAATATGCAAAGAGGTCAGCTAGAAAGGCTGAATAACGATGAAAATCAACAGAGCGAAGATAATAAATAGTACATGGAACTTGGTTTCAGAGTTGAATTCACCTAGACAGATTTAATGTAATATCGAATTGTTTCTGAATACACAGAGGTGGCTAGAACTTCGCAATAGTTAAATAGGTGTAAAGGACACATAAACATCAATCACGTGGCCTATCGTCTTTGCCAGTCCTAGAATAACATGCGTTCAACCTGCTCACATTAGTTTTTGTTATCTTCTCTAGAATATCCATTTCTTTGTCACCTTCCATCTCAATCGAAACATTCTTCTCGATTTCTCAAAGTCCGCTACAGAACATGTTTCTCACCATACACATTATCATATTCAGTAGGTTGTAAATAAGATAAGGAGAATCAGTGTAATACATGCATGCTAATTCCGCTACTGTTGTTCTCATTGCTTTATTCATATTCATTGTGCCTACGAAATCGGTCAGTGTCAGAGATCTTAGCACCATCACTTTGACAGTATTATCTCTTTAGATCAATGCTACATTTGTAGTGATAATAAATTGGAACAAGGTAGAATTTGGTGCACACGCATTCGGACAGAACTAATAGGAAGTGTGCTTCCGGTCTATCCCACTCAGCAGAGTGAACGATTGATTCACTTTAAGCAATAGAACTGCTACTGTCAGAAATTAGACACTGACTGCTTTTTAAATGACAGGAAAGGTATCAATCAACATGCTCAAGTGTCATTCTAACACAATCAATGCCCCAAAGAAGTCTGATATCCTCAACATCCTTTCAGTCATCCGTCCACCGTGTATGAATTCCTCTTCTTGAACTATGTTGAAATAACTTGAAATGTCTAGCCAGATATCCGAAAACCCTGTGTTCAAACAATTACAACGACTAACAGAAAACCACAGACTACTTATTTCTTCAGAATTTTACTGTTCACTATATTGAAAGGTAAAAAGTCGTAGTAGGTCGATACGAAGTTGCCATGTTACTTGGTGAGTAACCTAGAGGCTTAAATACTGAATGATCAGTTGATTCATGAGTGTAAAATGTGAGAACCGAAACAACTCGCAAAGATCAATTTATGACAGTGCATCAGTGTTAGTTGCTTGGAGGCGATCGGCTGGAAACCATGATTGACCTAGGTCTCGTGATTGTTGAAACTCGTCAGCATAGCACATCGGCAACCTCGACAGAACTTGTATTCCCTCTGAGATTAGAACCCAGATCACCCAGTGTTGTAGTCAGCGTCTTTACCGTGACTGATCCCCTACGAGAATTCTACGGGTCACCATGCTCGGAGGCTCATCATCATGGAGTACTTTGATGGATGATAGTTGGTTGTCAATCAGCTTGAAATTAGATACCTATGGAGAGTTTTCGACGTGTCCGAGCGGAAAACTGTAATACCACCTCCATGTAGTCATACTGCTCATTACTAGTAAGTAGTTTGTAGAAGTGAGCGGTTTTTCCTACTAAAAATGTATGCTTTGTGTGGTTGCATTTACCAGCAAACTAGTCGTTCAGCAGCAATTATTAAGTAGTGACGGCTGAAAATATCAACTTTGGCTAGAAAGAGAGAAAAATATTGCTTCAGGCAATCAGAAGTTATCTTCAAGGTTTGTTACACTGAGGCCACATTTGTACTGACAATCATCAGCTGCAGCTTGCCTTCGCAACACTCAGGTGACAGATTCATCTTCAGAAGTTCCAGTTCACATTACTGAGAGCAGCAGCATAGCATCAGTCAACCAGCAGACCAGATCTAGTGTTACAGCACGTCTAGTGAGACCAGGAATCTTCAACAAAATATCTGTGTACACATGTTTCCGTTTCTGTACCTGAAAAGAGCAAACACAATGACGTAAGCAGAATCACGCTGTACCACTTTGTTTCGTCTGCCTCCGCAGCCGTATACAATCCAGAATCATGTTATAAGTACGAACATGCTAAGGCTCATCGAGAAGAAATTGAGTTGTCAGTTGTAATCAGCATACTGTGGTGAGAAATCATAACATAGAAATCCTAATGAGATAAGAAGGCATGTCTAAATATCATCCTAAACGGGAAGCGAAAGAGAACATGTTTAGAGAACCCGAGATATACGCTTCATTGTGTTCCTGCAATGCATCTGCTTTGGTAGTTACAAGTAAATGTATATGCACATCGAGACGTAGCAGAGGACTGGTATCTGTTGGCGTTCGACTGTAGCAATGAATACGTGGTGTGATAAATTGGAAGCAACTTGACAGCATGATATATTCTGACCAACTCTAACTTCAATCTCCTATGAATTGCCCCTACAGCACTATCTCCTTTAAAGTTGAGGTGTGTTATGTTCTTTACATGATGATGTGCACAATGTTATTGTTCAAAACTCAATCGCTGGTTCTATCTCCTATCGTTTTGCTGGGCTGCTAATGCTGCTTACATTGTCTACAACTAACACTAACATCATAACAGACGACTCAGGGAGAAGACGAGTTCTTACTGCCAGCCCACAATGGATAATAATTTATTTGGCATAACATATGGAAATGTCCAGAGACTGGAATCGTAAGCGACCCAGCCAACGAGTGAGAATAAAAGACATTGAAGTCAGAATCACTCAGCACTGACTGCTTGTTGTTCCAATTAAAGATTCGTAATGGCTAGCAGTGGGATCCAGGATGCATGTTTCATCCTTCTTACGACTCGTCAGTTGGTTGCATCTGCCTCCTAATGAGTGATGTTATTCCCACTAAGACTCGAAACCAGAACTAATCGCTAATGCCAACAGTGCTGGATCACTTCCATCCAACCAATGATGCATATTCACTACCAACAACATCAAAAAGTGTTTGCTGTTCTTATTCCTCTCTTGTGGGGATAAAACAAGGTGTGTAGAAACCAGACTTTTGTTCACTGAAGCTGTTTTCCTGTTCACTGCTTCTAGTTCTTTCATATTCACTAAGAAGCCTCAAGGCATGGTCACTATATCGTCGACATTTCTCAGTGAAAACCAACTCCTCCTTCAGTTTGTCGCCTGAGTAGAGTATATAGTTGCTTCGCTGTGTTTTCACTTGTGGCCATTTATGAGTGGAGAGAAACTATTCATTTTCGGATTCAATCCATTTCACATACTCCTCCGTTGAATGAATCTTTGAAGAGTACTATTGGCTCTGAGTTCCATGGCAATATCAAGGAAGTTGAATGAGTCAACATTCCCGTGTTACACTGGATGCTGAATGGTGGTTTGTATGCGGATCACTGAAAAGCTCTAGGAAATGATAAGCATGACGCAAATCATTACAGACGATGAATGTGCCACTGAAACATCCGAAGTTGTCACCTAGGTGATAAACTTCAGTCGAATGTTCTGTTTCATCACTACTCTGAGTAACGTGAGTTCGTATCTTCATGATAGCATAAATTGTCTCAGATGGAGAGAAATTTTGCCAGCGTGTGAACGGACGTCTAAACTGAAAACATGGCTTCCAACGGACAGCTCTGATTACCAGGGATTAGATGCAACACCATATCATTTGTTCCAGTTTTGTTAGACAACCCAGCATGGGACTCAGCAGTACACACCGATGATCTCACCAGGGCTTGGAATCACGCGTCACGCGTTTCCCGATGAACGTGTTAACCATTCAACCAGTGGGTTGCAGTTCACTGGTCCACAGTTTCCTACCTCTATCGGTCCCCGATATGGTGTGGATATCTACAAGGTTTTCACCATGCATCCACTTAACTGCTGACTGCTTCACCCTATAGGTCATGGCTTCTCATTGCAACTTTGGGATCCTCATCTCAGTTATTCGCCAACTGACGTCAGTCCATGGTGTAAAACAACAACCACAAAAATGAAATCCTCATACACCCCTAACTACAGTGAAATGACGTTTCCTGTCAACTTTCATCAAAAGTTTATGTCAGTCAGGAAACCTGGAAGACCACTGGTTAATGAAGTAGAGCTGCATATTTTCATCTCTTCCTTTTGCATTCATCTCATTCGTAACTTCGAAAGAAACAGTCAATCACACCAAACCCACCAACCTACCAAACACTCCAAATTACTGGTTGGCAAGCCTGCTCGTAGTAGCTGGTATGGAATTGCTTATTATTGAAATCCTGTTTCAACTATTCAAATTCACTCAGTGTCATAGCTACCAGGCTAAGCAGTTCAACTCCGAATAGTCTTTCATTTACCGCTTAGTGGCTTAATGTCAAATGATTTCTCAAACTAAGATAATTGTTCAGCCGAAGGATTTCTCTGTGTTTCAGTTTCAGTTGGTAAGCGTTCCAGTATCATGCTATGCATCTTCATCGGTGCTTCAGAGCTTCACAACGAGACGAAGTAATTAGTTGTGCTTGCATCTTTATAATATGCAAGTTT